AGAACTCCAACAAGATAATGACTCAGCCCTCCCCCACCTTCTAGAGTAAATATAAATTACCTGCCTACCATTTTCTTCTCACCTTGACACAGAGAGTACTCCATCTTTCTGTGTTATTCCTCTGAGGATGCCAGTCACAGCTACTGGCGAAACGTCAGGTTCTACAATGCCAAGACCATGGCCACACAATCCAGAAAATCTACAGCAACTAATGAACTCCAGCCGTGAAAGCCTTCGAAAAAATACATTGAGTGCAGGTTTATATTTAGACAGCACCTTGTCGGTAACACTTTCACTAGTCCTATGGGACTCTGGTAATTTACCCGTTTCGAATGAATCTTTTTCAAGGACTGTGATGTATATATAAAGGACATAAGGCACAATAATTTTTCTTTGTGAGCACAAAAGCTCTTGAGATAGCAGCATTGTCTAGGCTCCCATCAGAACCCTTGCAGCAAACATAATAACCTATCTAAGACAGCATATCTTTCAAATTCTATCAGGTGGCTGCAAATCTGAAAGCATATTTTTCTCTTATGTATTGTTTGGGTGAAATATATTTTTGATAATATTTGATACCACTATTTAGACAACAGTATTGAAAAATATACAAAGAATAAAGCATACAATTGTTTTATCATAAACAGATATTTATTGTACACAGTGATATATATTTTTGTATGTCTTCCTAACACTGTGACCCTCAGTTTTTGTATTAACCTCCAGGTGGGGCCTGGGGATCTCCTGGAGTTACAGTTGATCTCCAGAAAATAGAGATCAGTTTTCCTGGAGAAAATGGCTGCTTTGGAGGGTGGACTCTTTGGCATTGTGCCCTGCTGAGGTCCCTTCTTACCCTGAATCCTGCCCTCCCCATATAGTCCAATTGTGACTTTGGTGTGCATGGAGAAAGGGCTTCAGCTTCCAGTGAAATGGCCCAGGTGGTCCTGAGGACTTTGCATTTAGCAGGGGTCATTTCCTGCAGGAGCGCACAGGAGCGGAGCTCCAGCAGTAAGGAGCTCAGGGGGTGGGCACATGCAACAAGCCCCACCCCCTGCTCCCAGCAGCCCTCAGTCAGAGCAAGAAGCAGCCAGGTAAGCTGCAGAGCTCCCCCCGGCCCCCCGACCCAAAACAGTCCAGTGGCACCTTTAAGACCAAGTTTTATTCAGGTACAAGCTCTCCCTCCTCTGCGAGGACAGATCTGCACGTTCCCCCACCCCCCAATAGCTAGCAATCCAAAACAGTCCAGTGGAGCCTGAGCGGTGGGTGTTGCCTTCTGACACACTTCCGGTGATGTCAGGGGGTGTGGCATATGCAAAAAAGTTATGCTAATGAGCGCCTGCACCTCTTTTTCTACAAAATGACCCTTGGCATTTAGTGAATGTGCCTGTGTGCCAGACATGACATTATCCTTGTGTAAATGAGTGTTTTCTTACTCCACGGGTACTTGTTGCGCATGCAACGACAGTAAGTTCGCATTTTTGTATGCGTGCATCCATTATTTGACACCCCTCTCATTGACAATACCCACTTGCCCCATAATCCCACACTGAACCTGAAACATAAAAATGCCGTCATTGGTACACCTCCTTCAGTGGCCCTTATGAAAAGCAAACAGGGTGGACAAAAACATAGGTCAGCTAGTGGAAGAATAATAATAACGTGATATTGAGTCACAACAGACTCATGGTGACTCCAGCCACAGGGTGTTCCAGGCAAGAGACGAGCAGAGGCGGTTTGCCATTTTCTTCCTCCACACAGTAACTCAGTCTTCCTTGGTAGTTTCCTATCTGAGGACTGACTGTGGCCGACCTTACTTCATTCCCAAGCTCTGATGAGCCTGGACTAAGCTGGGCTATTCAGGCTTCTCAACTAGTTTAAATGTACAGTCAGTACTGTATGGTGGAGTTTTGCCAGCCCTACACACACGGGTGAGCAATCATACTAACAAGGGGAATGTGAGAACAGAGACTAAGTGTGGGCAAAGAAAAAGGACAAAGATGAAGACCTGCTTGCACAGACAGACACAGTAGTTACAGGTCGATATAAGTATACATGACATATCTAGTAAGACATCAACTGGCAGTGGTTCTCCAGACTCTCAGGTACAAAAGGGTCCTTTTCAACTGCAGTCCTTTAAGTGGAGATGGCAGGGGCTGAATCTGGTTCTACCACTGAGCTACAGGCTCTTCAGGAAGCCCAGAATAAAAGTAATGGGTGTATGAACATCTCCCTTGAGAAATAGCTTGACTGAGCCACTAGAGATGAATGACTGGTGTGTTTGCTGTCCTCTGGCTGGATAAATTCCAACCTAGCAAACATTGCAGGATTGTTTGCTGTCCAGAGACTAAACTGCAAGCAGTGACTGGATATTTTCAAGGATGGCATCTGCCCATTTGGGAGCTTCACGTCCTCTTCAGACTTCTACTTGGACCAAGACCTTTTGATTTCCAAAGGCATTTGAGCAATTGGTGGCTGAATAAAATGGTTCTTAGGTCTGCTTCTTTCTTTATACTTTGGTAATTGTATCTGCTTTGGTTGTTAATTTCGTGGATCTCAATGTCGTATCGTAAAATAGTCTGTATCATATTGTAAGCTGCCTTGGAGGCCCTGGAAAGGGGGTCTAAGGATGTGAAATAAAATTTAGCATTTCAAAGAAATTGATGAGTGTTGATTTTTAACTCAGGCTCCTTTTGCATGTGATTCAGTGTAATAAATTTCACAATGGCCTTAAGCCACAACTTTTTGTAAAATGATGCCTATTTTTTCAGATGATTACACAATGATTAAAATAATATCCGTTTCTCAGCTGTACAACCAATGTCTGGGTAACCTTACACTTAAAACTCCATGGATGTGTGCATATCTAGCATTATAACTATAAATAATAGTGATAATTCATATTTTACAAGTATGATATACTGGAATTGTGAGCATGTTATGGTACATTTCTATATTTGGGTTAAAAAAACAACAGATCAAGTCCTGTGTGAGTTTTCAGATTAATCATTAACTCAATTTCTTTGGAAATGAGCAAATTAGTCACTCATTTGGCAAGCCCAGATGCCTGTTGTGGGAAAGGATCCAGAGACACACAAAACTATGGAAGTGATGGTGGTGGTGGATGCTTCAAGGGCATCCACTCTTTTCATTTATTCATTCTTCAAGGGAAGGTTGCCAACTTCCAGATGGGACCAGGAGATCACCGGAAATTACAAATGATCTCCAGACCATGGAGGTCAGTTCTGTTGGAGAAAATGGCTGCTTTGGAAGGTGGGTGTGTATGGAGGTCCTTGCATTCTCCAGCCTCCACCCCCAAACCTCCAGAAATTTCCCAACCTGGAGTTGGCAGCCCTATTTCAGGGGAAAGTTTTACCTTAGGGTTTCTGGTGATCCCTAGAGAGGTGTGATATCACACTGTCACTGACACCCACACATGTTCTTCCCCAGTCTCCTGCTGATTTCCAGGCCTGGCAACCCTAGCTGGAGTGTAATATCACACCTGGCTCAAGCCAGAAAACGTAATCAAGAATGATGGTATACAGTACACACACACGGAGTGAAGATGTTTGGGACTGACAACTAGAACAACTTGAAAAATATGTGTATGTCACTTTCTTGAAAGGGCAGGACACAAAATAGTTGACATGTTTCCACACCTTTTATTTATTAGGGTATTTAAATACCACTTCTGTGCCACAATTGCCTGAAGCAACACACAACAGTACAGTTCAGTTCAGTTCAAACAAGCCATGTGACAAACCAACAAATTATAGAAATGGACCTGACCAGCTAAAACTAAAAGCAATTTTAAACATCAGTAACACTAAAAAACAGAGCAGCTAAGAACAAACACCAGTTAAAATCGTAATACAAAAAAGCAGGACAAAACACAAGAAGAAAAAGGGAAAGGAAATAAGCACCATAGGTCAACCAGTTAAAGCCAGCAGCCATTGAAAACAGGACTCGGTGTACTATGTGTTACTTCAGCGTTTGCGCAATGCAAAAAGTGGAAATGTGCTTGTATTAATTTTCCTTTCCACTCAAGCATTGCTGGATCCAAACAAAATAAGTCAGTCAAATAAATAAACATGCTGGTGTGATGATGATGTTGCATCCTGTTGGTGGCGCAGCAGTGAATTAAAGTTTAAGAACCACTGCTCTAAACTAAGACAAGACGCTCCCTCCCTTTCAATCCACTTTTTCAGGGCTGTCCTAAAAAACTACAGGAAGATAAAGTATGGAAAGAGGCAGTCAACATGCCCATGTTTATCAGGAGGCCTGCTCAGAAGCACTTGGTGCAAGAGGTATTTTTTCCGAACAGAAAATCTTTTCCAAATTCTATCTTCTGTAAGTGTGATAGGAGCTGCGGTGGATCAAGTGGTTAAGACGCTGAACTGCAGGCTGTGGAAGGTCAGTAGTTCAGCAGTTCGAGACCCGCGTGCCGCATGATGGAGTGAGCTCCCATCTCTAGTTCCAGCTCCTGCCAACCTAGCAGTTCGAAAGCAAGAAATTGCAAGTAGATAAATAGGTACCTCTTCGGTGGGAAGGTAACAGCGTTCCGTGCGCCTTGGTGTTTAGTCATGTCGGCCACATGACCACGGAAACGTCTTCGGACAGCGCTGGCTCTTCGGCTTTGAAACGGAGATGAGCCAGGATGAGCACCGCAACCCTAGAGTCGGATTCGACTGGCTTTCGAGCAAGGGAACCTTTACCTTTACCTATAAGTGTGATACTGTTTATTACTATACTTTGCATTTCTCAATTGTTTAGTTTAATAACTGAGGCCGTTCGGCGACTGAAAAGAAGGCGGCCCAAAGACCTACACGTCCCAGCATACACAGGGAAGCAACGGGTTACGGGATGCGGCTTGTTGGTGGAGGGGGCGTGGCTAGCATCTGCCTGGCGTGCCCATTGGGCGAGTATCTCAAGGGGGCGGGTTGAGATTAGCGCGTGCTACTTCAGAGGCGCGGGAAACGGGGCAGGCGGTCTGAGGGAGCGAGATGGAGGCCGGCGAGAGATGGGGCGGGTGGGGCCGCGAGAAGCGCAATGGGGCTTGTCCGCCGGCGGAAGACGGTGAAGGCGACGTCGTGGTGAGGGGTGATAACAGGCGCGAAAAACGAATACGTTTGGGGAGGACAGAAATCTTGAGCTCGGCGCCCCAAAGCTCGTGCAGAGTGCATCTCTTGTCCACCCCCCCGCCTTTCTTGTATGGCTGAGCATGTGCAAAGTGTTTTTGCCAAAAGGTCCTGTGGGGGTAAACTGCTTCCTGGAAAAGTTTTCTGCCCGCTCACGGAGCCTCTTCCTCACCAAATAGAAGGAACTGAGTTTTCGGGTCCGTTCCGTATGAGCTAAGCGTCATTTTATGGACAGAGAAAAGGCACTCCATTTCCACAAATCAGACCCACTGGTAAAACGGAGTATATAAGGAGTGCCGTTCCTTTGTGAAGGGAATCAGTTTCTGGTTTGGGGTGTTCGTGCATGCAGTGGGCCTACGGAAGGGTTGCCAACTCTGGGTTGGGAAATTCCTGGACATTCAGCCTTTAATCCTGGGTTTTTGAGCGGGAGAGTTGAGTAGGGGACAGGGTATGATCACGTCATTGAGTCCATCCTCCAAAGCAGCCATTTTCTCTAGGGGAACTGATTTTTGTAATCTGGAAATCACTTGTAATTTCAGGAGATTTCGCTCCATCTGGAGATTGGCAACCCTACAATGTAATTTTTCTGAGCATATGTAGACTGTCCCTACGGGAACAAAAGGAAAGATATATTACAGGTTCTATTCTCTTGAAATGTTTTCTTCGTGGGAAAAGGCATGTGGAGAGAGTTACTGTGTGCAGGCAAGAAGCAGTGCTTTCTTGGGGTCACAGCAGTGAAAATCTAAACTGTACAGTGGCTTTCTGAGTATATGTAGAATGTCTCCTCCCCCATCAATGAATTTTCACAGATAGGACCTCTGTTCTCTGAGGAGAGCAAGGGAAAGATAGACATCGCGGTTAGTGCTTAGAGATGCGATAGGTTTGGTTCTGACTTGTAAGGACAGGTGCTGATTCCCTTCACAGAGAATAAAGGAATTTTATACACAACACTTGATGTTACTGGAAACAGGCTCCAAGGCAAAGCACCTCAACATGTTGAGTTTAAAAAAAAAAGGAGAGGAATTATAACCCAAAGCACTGAATACCTAAAATACTTTTTGGTTTTAGATTTTTGTTTTCTGGCAGCTGCTGAGCAGGCTGAAATTCTGCCAGCTGAGTGGGGGTAGAGATGGTGGTCTGCTCTGTTCCAGGCCCTTTAACAGAAGCCAAAAAGTAAAGCTCTTCATTGCATAGAACTAAAAAGATCAGTAGGAGTGGGTCCAAATGCTTCCTTGTATACCTGATTGCTGCACTGGCCCCCTTATTCCCAGATGCGTGGAAGCTGCTTGCCACTGTTAGCCAGCATGGCAGTGGGGAAATACAGTTTTTAAAAGACGTATGTCCTTCTCCATCCCAAATGCTCAGGATGAATAAGCAAAGCAAAAACAAATATATTGGCTATTTTTATTTGTTTCTATTTGCGCAACCATGAAAAAGAATATATAATGGTACACAGTGGAAAACTAGGCTGACATACCTCTAAAAATTGAAAAGCTGTGTAAGAAATCTGTAAAAATTGCATTATGGGCATTAAATTAGTTTAGTGGGTCTGGGAAAGTTGTCACCTATTGCAGCTGGAAAGGGCTGTGCACAGAAAAGCTCAAGATCGCCTTTTGTGTTTCATTGCCTTTTGCCCCACCTGTTTACATCCATATGTACATGTACCTGCCAAGTGAAGGCACACTTTGTGCATTCAATGAAGGGGGCTCAAGTTCACGAACACTTACACAACAATAGTCATTGTTCCAGCTACAACAGATGTAGATTGCTGATAATTACACTTTCTATAATGGAATTATAGTATATCTTGCCTCAGATCTTTGCTTGTCACGTTATTTTCTTCTGTAATCCTAGTCCAGTGGCATTGTTCACTGGTTGTTTTATGCTGTTTGATTGCACTGTTTTAGATTCTGTAATCTGCCTTGAGTCTCATCCAGAAAGGCAGGCTATAAATAAAGTAAATAAACGAATATGGTTCTCAGCAAAACTCTTGCAGCTGCAGTGTTCACAGTGACAAAACCCTGCTGTTTTCCCTGTACTTTTTCTGATTCAGCTCCCCTTCCCATGACTGTTCTGTGCCCACCTTGTACCTGCAGAGGACTTTTCTGAGCTTAATTCTTTTAATCACTATAGTGTTAAACTACCGAGGTATGTCAGTTACTGGTTTCTTAAAAGACCTCTGGTGATATGGGGGTTGGAGGCCCTGGGGAAAAGAAAATGGCATTGATGCGGGTGGGACCTGCAAAAATGCTCACCTTCCTGTCCACACAGTGCAAGCGTGCTTTGATTTGTGATCTTTGCCATTTTTTTGGAAATGTCACAGCAAAGTAGAAAAATCTGGGTAGTGGACAATTAAGGGAAATAGTCATGTCGCGGTTGCTCAAGAACATGATCCTCTGCTCCAGGTTGAATCCACAGAGGAGCAACCTCTTGACGTGAACACGACCTGATAGGTTGCCTTTCTGGAATGTGTCATGTTAATTATGTGCTTGGCCTCTTTTTGTTTCCTCTGCCACTAGTCTCCTTACCACCGATTGAGTCAACGGATGCAGGATGTCACTGGTGACAGAGGGGTGTTGAAGGAGGTTATCCGTGCCGGGGCTGGTGATGTAGTGCCTGCTGAGGCTTCAGTATTAGGTGAAACATCTTGTGTTACTGCAAGAATTTATTTGAGCTTTACAGTGCCTTTTGTTCATTTGTCACAGTGGGCGGTCTTGTCTAGTGCTTCCACTAGACAAGCTGGTATGACATAGCAGTTGGATATTGGACTGGGACCTGGGATGATCGGGGTCATATTCTGCTGTGCCATGGAACCTCACCAGCTGACCCTGGGCCTATCACAGTCTCAGGATAATCTACCTCACAAGGTTGTTGTGAAAAATAAAGGAGCGAAAGGGAGAACAAGGTGAAAAGGCGCTTTGGTCCTAGTCAGGGAGAAAAATTCCATCCATTTCAGTGTTTAATCATTTTCATTAACTATATTGGTATGCCCAAAAGGAAAAACTTTCTCAGAAATCTCCATCTGAATCTCCTCTTTCTGCTCTCAGTTGCAAACTCCTTAGTGCTAACTACTTCTAGCTCGACTAAGGGAACAGAATTTTATTTGGCTGACACTGAGAAATTTAGGAACCTGGTTTTCCCAAGGCAAGGATTAACTATTTTATGTATTAGCTTGAAGGCTTGAGGGTTCAAAAAACGACACGACACACAGATCTGCAGAAGCTTGTCTGACCCGGACTGGCCCAGCAGCATTTTATTAAGGCTTTTTTCCTTTTCCCTCCCCCTTGCCCTGTATATGAAAAAGCTACAAGCAGAAGACTCTAAACTAGAATAACAGGATGTTCTCTGCCCACGGCTCACCTTATCCTTACCCGACTCTAGCCAAGTTTCTTCTATCAGTGGACTCAGCAGACCTTGTGCACTACTGCCCAATCTCCCTGTGGGAACATTGAACTCCGGGCATGCCTCCAGAGGCTTGCCGTCCCCACATTAACTATTTATTTTATTTATTTATTTGTTAGATTTATACCTCGCCCTCCCCAGCAGGCTCAGGGTGGCTACAACAAAGGCAATTGCCATAACCACAGTTAAAACATCATAAAACAATCATTACACAATAAAAACAATCATTAAGTAAAGTGCGGTGCTCTTGATGTTAAAATTTGTTCTCAATCCAAGATGGGTTCATTCATTAACCTAACCTGACAGCATGCATTCTTTGGTTACCTAGGCGTCTGGGCGTCTACCCAGGGCCGGCTCACCTCCAGATCTAGTCCACCGTCGAGGATGGCAGCTCGGTGGTGGTACAGTGACGGCGGCGGTTCCTATACAAAGGCCTAGCGGAAGAGCTCCATCTTGCAAGCCCTGCGGAACTGCGCCAGGTCCCGCAGGGCCCGAACCTGCTCGGGGAGCTCGTTCCACCAGACAGGAGCCGCCGCCGAAAAAGCCCTGGCCCTGGTTGCAGCCAGCTTGATGTCCTTGGGGCCGGGAACCATCAATAGGTGCTGCAACCCCGACCGTAGCACTCTTGGGGGAACATATGGAGAAAGGCGGTCCCTTAGGTACGCTGGACCCTGGAGACAAAAATATCTGTCAAGGAACTCAGCTTAAAAAGCACTCGTTTGCTTGGCACTGTGAGGGGACAGAAGGAGTTGGTTTTCCTCCCACCTGGCTTTTGCCAGTGGGAAGGGCAGTGAAGGGAGGCTTTTTGCCCCTTTTCTCTGGCTCCACGTGTTCTTCCTGGGGCATATGGAACCAGAGAAAAGGGGTGAAAAGCCCTCCCCAGCTGCTCTTTCCGCTGGTGGAAGGACAATGGGAGGGAAACTAATCTAGTTTGGTTCTAAGTTTAAGGCCCTTGTGTATTTAGAATGAGCAAAGGACCATTTGTCATGCAGTTTCTTCAGGTTTTCAAAGTATGAAGAGTCTCGAGTTTCTGTTTTCATGTTTGGAAATAAGTGCAGGTTAACCTATACCCCAAGGCCTGAAGTAATGTGAACAAATCTGATGCCATTTTGCTGTTTAGGACAAATGCAGCTGCTGTGTTCTCTCTCATCAAGCACAGCAAAATTTAGCATGTGGTAAAAAGGAGAGTGAACAGTTGTCTGCTTGATGACATAAGTAATAGGTTGGGTGTTCCCAACTTACCTATAAACTGACTTGTTCCCTTCTGATTTTGAACTTTCTCAGTGAAATTTTCGGGGTACTTGGAACACATGGACAGACCCTTTGACACAAACTGCTTCAAAAAAAATCTAAGACTCATGAAACTTGGTGAAGGTGAGTCCAGTTTTGCAAAGTAGCCCTGAACAGTATAGAATAGTATCATGGCGCACGAAAACCATTCATGCTCTGTACTGGTAAACATATGCTGCCCACTAACAACAGTCATGGATTGTCTGAAATTCACTCCCTCCCTTCTCCTGTCCAGGTCTTTTGTGTATTTTCCTGTACTCTTTTATGATCATCCTGTACTACCTGCTATCGTTTTTTTCTTCCTTCCTTTCCCATCCTTAGGCCTCTTGGCATGGGAGTTCTGATGCCTGTTGTCATGTCTAGAATACGTGAGACTCTTACAAGGTTCCCCAGCCTTGTTGAGCCTGTAGGCCCCTTTGGAATTTTGAGAAAGAGCATTGGGTGCCATCACATAATGGCTGCCACAATTCACACCAGTGGTGCAGATAAAGTTTTCTTCCTTGTCTGACACCATCTCCAGTTCAGTTAACTCGCTTTTCTATACTTGAAATGGTTTACTATTCATTATTCAAAACATGTTATTCAGTTGTTTAAGGACTTGTGTTTACAACATGCTTGTATTGTAGCCTGTGCTACCTAGGAAACAAAAGTAAAAATGGAAAACAAAATGACAACATCCTCCGATGGAAGCGACTATTTTCAAATGGGGGCTTCCTGTAGATACAAAGGTGATGCATCTGGGGCTTCTCTGAGACACCTTCTGTTCTAAATAAGATGGAAGAAAACCGTGATTGGCTTTGTGCTTTGGAGAAGGAAGAGGGTGCCATGTTGGGGAATCATGGGAATGGTAGCATGGCATATGCGTTTCAGAAATAACTTAGTATCTCCTTTTTTATTTTTCCAGAAATCACACTGCGGGGTATGATAGTTGGGCTCCTGACAATGAAGAGAGGGGAGCTGGCACGATTTCTCTTCAGGTCACCTTATGCCTTTGGAATGACTGGCTGCCCACCGTTGATCCCTCCCAACGCCACCGTCTTGTTTGAGATTGAACTTTTGGATTTCTTAGACACCGCAGAATCTGAAGAATTCTTCGAGCTGACTCCTGTAAGATAATCAGCTAAGTTCCGAGTTGTCTGAACTGGTGTAGGCCTTTTTGCACTGCCTAATGTGAAACATCAAAGTCCTAGTCAGGGTTCAAACAGGTTATGTCCAGCAAAATAATGTGCAGTTTAAATCTGCAGGGAGATATGCCTGACATAAAACACTGTAATATTGAGTCGACCACTAGAGGGAGCCCAACACATGCAGAACAGACACCCCTCCCCCGAAACAGGACCTTACAAGTGAAGAAAATGAGAAGGCAGAAAAGCCTATTAAAAGCATAAAACCCCCTAAAACAGCCAAGCATCAGCAGGCAAAAAAATAGTTCTTATGCTGTGGAGGAGAGTAGGGTGTAAACTTTCTTAACGCCCATAACCAATGCTCCCTCTAAGCTGTGGAGTCTTGTGAGCAAAAATTCTACTTTGTGAGCTACTGGCATGAAAGCTGTGAGCGAGCCATTTGGCTGCTGCATAAATTAGTTTGCTCTGGAGCCCTCCTTCCTGAGCTGAGACAAAAATGTGTGAGCTGGAGGCTTAAAAACTGAACTCGCTCACGCTAACTCAGCTTAGAGGGAACACTGCCCATAACCTACAGTTGGAGCAATCAAGGAAGGGGGGAATTGCATGAGTGTCTCCTCACCACTTCTGTTCCAGGCCGCCTAATGAATATCATGAATAATAAAGAACTTAGCAACATGTTACACTGTTTTCAGATCTGCCCTCAGTTCTGCCAAGCCCGCTATGCACAGAGACTTCCATTTTGAAACTTAATTCTCAGGTGCATGGGAGCCTGATTTGGATTGGTGGAGGGGTATTTGGATTGGTGGAGGGGTATCCTGGACTTCCGGTTTATGGAGCAGCGATGGCGGACATTCTCCCCGAACCGCGGGAGAGCGATCTGCACACCAGCGCCTTGGAGGGGTGCCATCTCAAGTGACACCCCCACGGAGCCTTTGTGATAGGCTCCAGGCCAGGGGGCTTTTGAGGGGTAGCCTCTTCGATGGCGTTGTCGGGCTCTGACGCGTCCCGGGGAGGGGCGCCCCCAGAGGCCGTTGCACCGGCGGGCCGTCCCGAGCGAGGAAGCAACGTCCGGAGGTTTGCACGGGAATTTGCGGCAAGCGTGGGACCTCAGACTGGCAGGGGACGGGGTTGACGGCACCCCCACTGTCCCTCTGCCTGGATGCTACGATCACCTCTGTCTCTCTCTCAGCGTCGTGATCGCCACCGCATCCACTCCTCCCCGGCCCCCGTCTCTGCCGGACCTTTATTCCCGTGCCGTACACCCGGTGCCGCCCCTTCCTCCCCCGGACGCAAGCCCCGCCCCCCCTCATATGGAGGAACGCCGACAGGGCGTTCCCCGCCTCCAGGTAGGGATGCCGGCGGTGGTCTCAGCGGCTCCTCGGCCGCGCCGCCGCCGCCGCCTCGCGGTTTCCGGCCCTCTCCGTCGGCTTCGGCGGTGTCCCCGGGGCTCTCGACACTTGCGGCCCCTCTCGGGCTGCGCCGCCCGCTCCGGGCGCGCCCGCCGTTCCGCTCTCCGCTCCTCGCCGCATCCCGGTCTGCCGATCGGCCGCTGCCTGGTGAGTTAGTGCGGGGGCCTGGGGTCGGGGGTCCTTCTTTCCCTTGCCGTCCCCCGGGGGTCTCCGGGTCCCGGACATCGGGAACGGGACAATGGCGTAATGCCGGAGAATTGAGGCTCCCCTCCGCCCTGACAGTCCAGACACTGTGTGGTCTTCGGGCACTAGCTGGTTTGACTGGGACAAGCGCCGGAGATCGAGCAGAATAGCGTTTAAGTGAGTGAGGTCAGAGAAACTGACCGACAATGAATGTGAGTTCAGAATAAACCAGAATACTGCAAAAGTGGACTCCCCCCCCCCCGCCAGGTAAAAGCGGACGCAAAGAGGGACGCCTCTTATGTGAATGAACTGATAAACAATACGTAGGGGGAGAGGGGAGGAAACACAACGAATGTGTTTTGAGAGACTTACTTGATTACCGTCATCGTGGGGCGACTTTTCGAGCCGGGAAGAAGCGTTAGAAATTGTAAACAAATCGGAAAAAATGGCGGCCCAGCAGAGAAAGCTGAAAACAACCACCGGGCAGTCAGAGCCCAAAACCGGAAGAGGGAGCAGACATCATTAAAATGTTAGTGGATATGCTCAAGCCGGTGATTAAACAACTCGATGGTATTAACCAGCAACTGACTGTGATGAATAAGAACTTTGCATCTCAGCAGCTCCAACTGAAAGAAATGGAGAAGAAAGTGGAGCAGGTAACTGAGAAAATTAAAGAGATAGACACCACAAGTAAGAAGATGAAGAAAAGAATGGGAGAAGTTGAAACAAAGCAAAACCCCCAAGAAAGTTGTTTGCTGCAACTACAGATGGAAAAAGCTAACATGATTCTCAGGTTCCAGGGAGTTCCTGAAGCAGAGAAGGAGGACCTGAGGAGGTTGCTTAGCGAGATCATCGCTCCAGCTATAGGCTTAACAGCGGATGAGTTGGTAAAAGAAATGGAGATGACCTGTAGGGCATACTCCAATTATATTTAAAAAAATAGCCTGCCTGGAGAAATTGTGTTCAGATTCTCAAGAAGACAGACCAGAGATGCCATCTTAAAAGCGACATCAGCAACTCCACTAAAAATGGGAAATATAACCATTAAAACCTTAAAAGACATTCCATTTGAAATTCAATGAAAGAGGAAAAATTATAAGGATTTAATTTATTTTCTTCAAACTAATGGAATTTCGTATCGGTGGGCGATTCCAGAGGGTGTCATCTTTAAGATCAACGATAAAAGAGAGAAGATAGATTCCACTTTCAAAGCTAAAGAGTTTTTGCGGCGCCAGTTGGGAACAGAGGAAGAGTCCAAGGAGGAGGAAACGAAATCTAGTGACTCTGCTACCTCTGGAACGGAAGAGGACTCTGCTGAGCAGGTGCTGCCAGAGTTGTATATGACTTTAGAGACAGAAAGCCGAAGTAAAGGCAGAAGGACTCGGAAAATAGCCTTTTGAAGCAAAAGAACAAGAAGCTGATCAGAAAGTTCTCTCATAACACCTAACATATTACCCTTCCCTAATATTTTCTTTGTAGTTTTGTAGTTTTTAATGTTTTTAAAATGCAGTTTTAATGTTTTATGAATTGGGCAATGGTCCCATCTGTACGCCGCCCTGAGCCCATTCGCGGGGAGGGCGGGTTATAAATGTAAATAAATAAATAAATAAATAAAATTTATTGTAAAAATAAAAATATCCCTTCGGGGATTTAAAAAAAAAAAAAAAGCCTCCCTCCTGTACTGCTTTCCTGTCCTGAAACAGCTCCTCCAGCAGGCCAGTAGAAGAATTTTTCGGGTGGTGGTGGTGTCTAATTAAAATTCTAAGTCAGTCCCATTGAAGGCTTAGTCTAAACAAACAAAAAAAAAAAAAAGCCTCCCTCCTGTACTGCTTTCCTGTCCTGAAACAGCTCCTCCAGCAGGCCAGTAGAAGAATTTTTCGGGTGGTGGTGGTGTCTAATTAAAATTCTAAGTCAGTCCCATTGAAGGCTTAGTCTAAACAAACATGCATAAAGTCAAATTCCCAATCTCCATCCATTCTGTTTCTTTCTGTCTACCAAGTGTACATGGGGTTAAATGTTCCTACCAAGAGCATTCCACGTTGTTCCCCTGCATCTGCTCTTACTTCTGTCTCCCCTTACCTTGGTAAGGATTTACTTCCCAGATGCTACCTCTTGCCTCCCTTACCGCAGGAGATTTATTTTAATTTAACGCTTAGGCTATGCCCACTCCTGGAAGCTACTCAGAAGAAAGTTCCGGGGGATGTCCTACCAAGAAAAGGAAATTCAGCTCCCGGCCATTCTGCCCTGCCTGCCTCCTCCAGTCATCCTTTGTCCCCGTTTGCCGTCCAAGGCAGGCAGGGTAGTGGGCGGCGAGCTTGTCAACCCTCACCAAGCCCCACAAGGCCAGGTACTTCTCCGGGGTATGGGAGGAGACGGGAGGAAGGCAGCATTGCGCAGTAGCACCTCGTGCCCCAGGAAGGAAATCCCATCAGGCCACTGCAGCGGCGGCCCGAATTGGCATGGCTTAATCAAGAAGATACTTAATTTTAAAACAAGAAAGGGAAGATTGGGGTGGGGGCGCTGCAAATGTGATGGGGGGTACCGCCCCCAATGCCCCACTGCTGGCCATGGCCCCGCTCTCCAGGAGCCACTGTTTGCTCCACTGTGGGAATGTGTGTGTGTGTGTGTAAAGTGTTGTCAATTCGCAGACAACTTATGGCGACCCCAGCAGGGAACTTTTAAGGCAAGAGAGAAGGAGCGATGGTTTGCTGTTGCCTTTTTCTGTCTATATTGTCTAGCTTGGTGGTCTCCCTTCCATGTACCGACCCTGCTTAGCTTCTGAGATTTGATGAGATCGGCTTTACCATGCTGCCTTCCTTCCCACGGGGGAACTTACATTTACCTTATCAGTGCACACGGGTTTCCCCATTCGGGAAAAAGGCACTGGAGGAAGGCTTAAGCCGCCTCTCACCATACACTGTGGTCCCAGTCCAAATTGGGGGGGGGGGGGGGCTACACACCTGAGAATTGAGTTTCAAAAATTGCTGGAGGCTCCAGACACAGGACTGCCAGTGCATGTCTGGTTTTGGCGGGACCTATTACAGACATGGAAACTGCCTAATGTGTAGATAGTCCCCAGGGCCTTTGAGATTTACTTTCCAGATTTATTATCCTGTTAGTTCCTGTCGCCATAGCCATCTTTGAGTTGATTCCCCCATAACCTTCTCAGCCCTTCTTCTAATGAAGTTTAAGCACCCTGTGAGTTGCCAGTGCTATTCTCTAAAAACAGTGTGGTGTGATGTAGTGGTTAAGAGCGATGGACAGTAATCTGGAGAACTGGGTTTGATTCCCCACTTCTCCGCGTGAAACCTGCTGGGTGACCTTGGGCCATTCACAGTTTTTTTTCCCAATTAATTTTTTTATTTATTTCAAAATCTTACAAATTATTTACAAGTTATTCTACAACAAGAAGTGAATATAACATTCTTTGATAATAGTCTTCTACAAGTTGCCAAATCTATTCTGCTTCTACTTCATTCAATTTTTTTTAAAAAATAATCTATTTATTAATTTTCAGACAAACAAAGATACATAATATACTCATACCATTAACTACATCACAAAAATCACAAGTACGTTGACAAAAATAATTACACCTTCCTTACATTTTATATTCTTTTTCCCTTTAACTCTCTTACTATATTTCAAGACCTAATTCATTTTTCTGATGTCAATAATAATAATAAATCACAATATCAACTCATATAACAAAGCCATTCGTGCTGTTAATTAGCCTTCCCATTAAAGCTATCCTCATAATCAATTGAGTGCTTAATCTTCTCTTTCCTGTTTGAACTATCTGTTTCCTGTTTGGGTTGACCACAACCAAAATGTAAATCTGTCTACTGGAGAACAAAGGCAGTAGGTATCGTAACCAATATATCTTAAGTTTAACACTCCTACTTATACCTTACTGCTAATTTCACGCGCCCGGCGCCGGGGGGGGGGTTTGGGGGGGGGGGGGGGGGAGGCGTGGCTGTTTGCCCCGCAGTGAAAAAACGTGCAACTGCGCGATCAGGCATCCCCTTGCGGTCCCGGCGAGGTCCCGTGGTTAGGGGGGAGGTGCTGATCACACGACGCGCCAAAGAAGCAGCACGGCAAACGGGGTTGTGTTTGGTTTTTTTTAACCTAAAGTATGCGCGTGCCTCGTTGGGTGCTTGTGCGCATCCCTGGAGAACTCGGGGGGAAAAAACGTTTTTGCAATGGGCCATGGGCGGGCGCCGGATGCCACCGTAAACACGCTCAGACGCCGGCCCTTGCCCCGCGGTTTCCGGAAACTAGTACCTCCGAGGTACTAGTTTTTTTGCCGCGCATCTTCTGTGGGAAGCCTCAGTTGAGCCACGGGAGCTCTACGCTTCCCAGATGTGGCGGTGAGATCGCGCCCGGAAAATCCGCCTATCTTCCATTGCAATGGACTTCCTGGGCAGATGAGCCCAGGATGTTATACTTTATGTTATTAGGTCTGGTAGTTTTGCTAGAGAGCACATGAGGTTATCTGGGCTCATTGCAGAGCCTGCTTCCTGGAGATGTGTGTCTTAAGGGCTCTGTAGTTATTGGTAAGGCATTTTAGGTTGGGAGTCCATATACACAAGAAAAGGTCTAGCACCAAGCTGTAAATCACTGATGCATTAGACTCATCTGTGTTGGGAGCTTTCAGGTGACAACCACAGATACATATATATTTTTAATCTCATTTGGGCCTTTCTTGTAGTTGACTTCTGGGTACCAGCTGATATATTCCTTCACTTTGTTGGCATAGGTTTTGGGCAGTCTTCAGGATTACAATGTAAATCGTTCAAGAGTGTGTCCCTGTCCAAGGAATTGGAGCAAATGCGATTATATTGTATTGCTTGTCTACAGAGTAGTACAGACAGTGGATTGTGTGGTGTGTTCAGGGTGGTAGCTGGAACCACGTGGATATTTATAGATTCTAGTTCATTTTGGAAAGAGCAAGAGTCCAGTAGCACCTTAAAGACTAACACAATTTGTGGCAGAGTATGAGCTTTCGTGAGTCACTGTTACTTCTTCAGATATCTAAAGAAGTGAGCAGTGACTCACGAAAGCTCATACCCTGCCACAAATTGTGTTAATCTTTAAGGTGCTACTGGACTCTTTTCTACTGCTGCTGACAGACTAACGTGGCTACCCATCTTTTAGAAATATATATGTGTGTGTGCATGTGAGTGTGTGTGCACCTGGAAGTCATGGTTACCTCTGGTGACTGACCCCTACTGGGGGCCTGGAGGATATTCAGAGAGGTGGCTGAAAATCCTGCCCCCACCTCTCGCCTCTGGTATTCTCTGGAGGTCTCCCATCCAAGTACTTGCCAGAGTTGACCCTGCTTAGCTTCTGAAATCTGACGAGATTGGGCTTGTCTGGGCTATCCAGGTCAGGTCACATGGCTACCCATCTTGATCTGGTTCATTTTGGCTGCAACAGACCTGACACGAAACGCGCCTGTAGAATGGTTAGTATGAAACCTCTCCCTGGTGTGTGTTCCATTTTATATGCTGGCCATCAATAGTGCTGCCTCTCTTGACTACACTGTGGCTTCTTTGCACAGGAGCAACAGGAGAGGTTCCCTCTGCAGAAGGTGCTAAAGGTGACAGAAACAGAGCGAGAGTTCGGCAATTACCTCTTCCGACAGAAGCACTTCATGGATGCCAGAGAAAGATACAAGCGTGTAAGTGAAAAAGCTGTCAAGGTAGGAGGAATGTGCGTCTCCAGAGTGGTGCAGACACAACGGGCAAGCATCACCTGGGCCTCTGGGATGCTTATGGCTCATGGGAAAGCCCCTACTGCTTTGCATATAGGAGATCCCTGGTTCCATCCTCGCCTTCTCTAGTTAAAGGTAGCAGGTGATAGGAAAGACCTTTCTGCCAGTCAGAGGAGGCATCACTGAGATATGTGGGCTGATGCTCTGACTTGGTATAATATGCAGTCTGCAGTAGACCAAAAAGCAAATGAAACGAGACCGTGAGAATTAATATTAAATGCAAAATTATATTAGAAAATTTGTATAGGGATTTTCAGTAAACATATGAACTCTCACTATGTTTCTGTTTAAAAAATTCAGTACTGTATTAGACATATACATCCAAAGTTAAAGTAAGAAAGTGAATTCATCATATATCATACACAACAATTCAGAACAATGCAACCAACTGAAATTCTTAAGTAGAAAGAAATGTCCAATTTATATCCACAAAATGGTAATAGATGGCAATAAGACCAAAATAAACCTGGATGGCTCTAATAGTTAATGATGACTTGACAAGCATTACGGTATATGCTGTTTCCAAAAAGCTTCCTCAGAAGTCAAAGTTTTCAGTCCTCAAAAGAGCTTTTGAAAGGTCTTTACCATCATATTTAAATTTTTCTGTAAAATGCCATGATTGTAGGATAAAGTATCTACTGGAGGTTGCGTTGCTGATTGTCTTTGTTATGTACATGCTATTTAAAAAAAAATCAAATTCTCGTTTCCGTGTTCCTTTTTCTGTACCCCTATTGTATTTAAAGATAAAAACATATTTAAAAAAAAAAACTTATAGGGTCCATCAGTTTGCCTGTGAACACATACAAGGTTTGTATGATGATGTTACATCGGTGCAAGTTGGTCCAATAAGAGATTTTATATACTTGTTACACATTTCAAATTTGTTTCTTGAATGATATAAATAATTGATTGGTTATTATACCTGCATAGGCTTCCTCAGTCTTGCATCGTGTGGCTGCCAAAGAGGACGAACAAACGAAAGTAGATACTGCCAAGCTGCTGGTCCTCTTGAACTTGTCCATTACTTACCTGAAGCTGCGGCATCCAGCTCGGGCACTTCTGTATGGAGAAAGGGCCTTGGAACTAGATCAGAAAAATGCCAAAGCCCTCTTCAGGTGTGGCCAGGTAAGGAACTGTTTTGAGTATGTGGCAGAGGGCTGGGATTTTTTTTTTCAAAAGAGAGGGTTTGGTAGAGAATTGCCAGGGGTTAGTTTGTGCTTTTACGTGGATGGCCCAGGCTAACATAATCTTGTCAGATCTTCGGAAGCTAGGCGGGGTCAGCCCTGGTTAGTACTTGGATGGGAGACCACCAAGGAAGTCCAGGGTCTCTATGCAGATTCAGTTAATGGTAAACCACCTCTGTTTACCAGTTGCAATGCCACTGAAGCTCTGAAAGCCAAAATCAGAATGTGGAAGCCCTTCCATGTAAATGCGCCCTGATGGAGGTCCCATAGGTCACCTAGTAAACACCCTTGCTTTGGGAGGAGAAAGGGGAAAGGAGGCGCTTAAGCATTGGTTCTCTGTCAGTGAGTTGGAATGTTCACTTCTCTTTTGGAGAGCTTCCAGACCATAGGGAAGGGTTGTGGCTCAGTGGTAGAGCATCTATTTGGCATCTTCAATCCCAGCCACCTTCAGTTAAAAAGGACCAGGCGGAAGCCCTTTGTCTGAGACCCTGGAGAATCGCTGCCAGTCTGCGTAGACGATACTGACTTTGCTGGACCAATGGTCTGATTCAGTATAAGGCAGCTTCATGTGTTCATGTGCTAATAAACATCCTTTGTACGTTAACTGTATTCCTCTGATGTTCTTCTGAATGCCAGGCATGCCTTTCTCTGGCAGAATATGAGAGAGCTCGGGATTTTCTAGTCCGAGCACAAAAAGAACAGCCCTTTAACCATGACATCAACAACGAACTGAAGAAGCTGGCCAGGTGAGGGAGCCCTTTCTTCATTTGTTTCACTGAAATAAAAAAACCCCGAGACTGTGGCATCTTTAGAGACCAGATAATTTATTGTGGCAGAAGCTTTTGTGGGTTGGAGCCCACTTTGTCAGAGTGAAATGCTTACTTCATCCGCTTTTGCGGTGTAATAATCTAAATTTATTCCTTGAAGCTCTTTTAAGGTTTATGTATCCTCCTAATGTGGTCCATTAAGCCCCGGCTTCCATGCACAGCAAGTCTTTTGCATTGCTGTAAATGCTGTTCAAGTGTTACAGGTTGCTTTGTGTAAAAGGAAATCTCTCAGGGCAAACTAGACATTAGTAACTCCCATGGGAGCTTCCAGCTACGAGTTCCCTGTGGGAACTGAATCCTGATAGCAGCTGCAAGTCCCTGTGGCAGCCATGAGTTAGCCGTAATGTGTAGTTTGGCCCCCCCACATCTCACTTCCTTTGGATTAAATGTTTATTTTATAATGTAGTTTATGCTCACTTGATGTCGATGCATTTCCTGTAAGTCTGAAAATTATACCTTTGTTGTCACCTATATGAGACTTCACTAATTCATTAATAGCCATTTAAATGTCTCTGCGAGTAGGTAGGTTCAGTCCTAAGCAAGTCTGCTCAGAATCCCACTCGAGTCTTCCCAGACTGATGTTCTTAAGATTGCGCTGTTTGTTCCGTGGAATGATCCCTGGATTTGATGGTGATCGTAGGGTTATGGGTGCCCCGTTTCACTCATTCCCAAATGTACGCTGGCTGCTACTCAGTCCTTAGGGAGCATTGGAACTGGGTTGGGGGAGATGACAACTTTTTTGTTTTAAAGCTTTAAGATTAGGGTAAGGAATGGCAAGCTGCAGGTGGTCTGTGGTCCTTTTGGATTGTCTCTTGAGTGTCAGACTAGTATCTGGGAGACCTGGGTTTGAATCCCCACTGTGCCATGGAAGCTCACTGGGTGTCCTTGGGCCAGTCACGCTCCCTCAGCCTAACCTACCTCACAGGGTTGTTGTAAGGATAAAACCGAGGAGAGGGGAATGATGTAAGCCACTTTGGATCCCCATTGGGGAGAAAGGTGGGGTATGTGAATTAAATAAATCAATAAATTCCACCTGTGTCGGAGCTGTTGTTCTCCTACTCTCTCGCAGAACAGTTGTGTGTTCAGGCTTCATTTCAAAAGGTGTGCTTTTTAAGCAGAGCTGGCAAGCCTGTGACCCAGGTCTGCTGTCTTTTGCAGCTGTTACAGAGAATTCAAGGACAAGGAGAAGGAGATGTGCACCAGGATGTTCAGCTCTCTTTCAGTGGAAGAAGAATTAAAGGTAATGGGGTTGACATAACTGCTGTATCATGGTAGCATTATAATGTTTTAGCAGCATAGTGACTACTGATGTAAAAAAAAGAAAAAAGGCCAGCAAAAAAAGCTTCCCCAGGAGCATTTGGAAGGGATATGGGAGCCACAAGGGGGTGACTGAAGAAAATACGGCAGAAGGTCCCTTGTGGACACTCAGTAGCTGCCATGAATGTTTCTGCATTTGCCGTGACAATGAACATACAACAGAGAATTGTCACCCTGTGGAAGCAATCTTAATGGGACTGCATAGGCCGTCAGCGCAGGATCCTGTGACACTTCAGGCTAAGCAGAAAGATAAGACACGACTGCGGCTTTGTTAATAGCTCCTTTAAAGGGCTTGGCAGAAAGCAGGCAATGTGAAGAAACACCTCTCTCATGCAAATGGAGTCAAATCCTGATAAAGTCATAAGAGATTGCGGCCTGGGTCACAGAGCTTGAATCAGATAGGCCTGATTGACATTTGAAACCGGCTGTTACTGTAGACAGAGCAGTGCTTACAGCAAGCTTGTGTGTGTACACACACACGCTTGCATGCCTGGAAGTCATGGTGACTTCTGGTGACCCCTAGTGGAGTTTAGACGTTTCAGAGAGATGGCTTGATTGCCTGCCTCTGCGTCCTGAGCCCTGGTATCCCTTGGAGGTCTCCCTTCCAATTACTTGCTGAGGTCAGCCCTGCTTAGCTTCCGAGATCTGATGATATCGGGCTTGCCTAGGCTATCCAGGTCTTACAGCAAACTCTTGTTTTGCAAGGGTGGGGCTCTTTGGGTGGTCTGGGAAGACTGTGGGACCCCCTGTGTCTCTGTGCTGCTTTTGTGTTGGCTGGTTCTGGCCTGAACATTGTCAGAGCATTGTCAGAACATTGACAGGCATGTTCCCTTGTGGCCATATCCGAGGTATACCTTTACTTGGTCAGGCACCCAGAGCTGCAAATGGATTGTCTCTTGCTCCCTTGGGGTTTCTGGTGCTAGAAGGCAGCTGCTTGCTCTCCTAGGTTTGGGTTTATTATCGTTGCACATTGTGGTCAAACTACTTTATCATTTCCAGTTATTTCCAGAGGTGAGGACACAGGATCTTGCAGGGAGAAGAAGGGAGTCTTAGGACACATATTAGCTCCACAGACATGAATTAGTTTTAATAGTAATTCCCCTTGTTCTAAAGGTTCTGGAAACTGTGATTTAACTTGCTACCAGTGTTCCCTCTAAGCTGAGTTAGTGTGAGCTAGCTCACAGTTTTTTAGCCTCCAGCTCACACATTTTTGTCTCAGCCCAGGAAAGATGGCTCCAGAGCAAACTAATGTATGCAGTAGCCAAATTGCTCGCTCACAACTTCAATGCCAGCAGCTCACAAAGTAGAATATTTGCTTACAAGACCCCACAGCTTAGAGAGAGCATTGCTTGCTACCCTTTTCTAGCTGCCCACCGACTTCAGTATCTCCTGTTCAACTAATGCTTAAACTTTAAAGCATCCTAGAGAGCCAAGGCTAGGCAGCATCGATGCAAGCGGAAGGTTGGGATTTTATTACATTAAAAACATTCTTTTTGCTAGCCTAACCTTTCATCCTTCAAAAGGGATGGGGGAGTGCAAGTAAGATGAGCCGGTAAGGTGTAATGTCTGAAACAGGCATGTGGTGCGTGCATAATTTGTTCCCTTGTTTCCAGACTTGTGTTTGCAAGCAGAGGAAGCGCCCTTGTAACAGCATGCGCTTCTTGTTGCTGCAGGAGCAGGCCTCGCTTTGAAGGCCATCGAGCCCACCTCATCTGTATAGTCGTCCCCCCCCCAAAAAAACTCTGTTTTTGATTCTGTAGCCAATGGACAGGAATGAAAGAAATGAACAGATCAAATGGTCCTTCGAATAGCTAAAGGGTCCCAGCTTGCGTACTGCTTGCTTCCCCCCCTCCCTTTTTAATTAGCTGCATGCAAAGACTTGAGAATGGATGCATTCAAAGAGGATGACAGGATATATTTTTAGTTTGAACCCCGTGCTTGTTACTGAGCAAAGGTATCTTTGTAACCCTGGGCGCTGTTTCTTGTCCAAGTCTTAGCAAAAAAAACCCAACGTGTGTGCAAAGAGGAGGTGTGAAATTGGCAGGGTGCAACTGAGGCTTTTTAGTGAGGTACCCAAGTGCTACACGATATGTTTTCACACCTTTAAAAATACAGCCGTGTTTGGCTTGCCCTTTTCAGGCAGTTCCAGAGGTACTGGGCTAGATTAGACCAGAGCTGAGCAGGCAAGAGGCGGATTGAGTAGCTGGAGCTTAAGGTCAAGGTACATCCTGTCTCCAAATTAGTGTCAGCCATGCCTGGAAGATGCAGCCTACCAAAGTCCTGGAGTGACCACTTGAACCTCTTCCTTGGTCATTTGCTAGTAGGTAGAGGTTCCCCTCCCCCCGACCTGGAGAGCCCAGACTGGCTTGATCTTGTCAGATATTGGAAGCTAAGAAGGGTCAGTCCTGGTTAGTACTTGGATGGGTGCCTCCCAAGGAAGTCCAGGGTTGCTGTGCAGAGGTAGGCAGTGGCAAACCACCTCTGAACGTCTCTTGCCTTGAAAACACTACAGGGTTGTCATAGGTCAGCCGCAACTTGATGGCAAAAAATGTCGCCCTACGCTATGATATGACAACTTTGCTCTGTTAAGCTCTGGCAAGTGTGGCTCTTAGTTTAGGGGCTTTGAGGGATTGTGGTGTTGGTCATTTCAGAGTCCTGCTGTGCAGAAGAAAGGAGAAGACCCATAACGGGGAGGGAGGTGCCACTTCTAGCACACTTCGGACAAGCGAGTAAAGGACCCCATGCTTCATTCAAAATTTGGAGCCGAGAAGATGGTGAGGTGGTTTGGTTTTCTTTAAAAAAAAGTGTTGCTCCTGGCCAGTGGTGTTCTGAAGCCAAGAGTATTAAAAGCTCCTGTTGAACAGAATGCATTTCCCGTCACCCTTTCCCTGATGGGAAGAGAACCCTCGGACACTGAGATCTAGTTACTTTATTTAGAGGCTGGCTTGCGCACCTTAGTTTTTTTGCCATAGCAGGGAGTTTCACCATTCCTTTGTGTTCTTTGTTGGTCTTAGAATGTTCTTAGAAATGATGTGTTCCCTGGCTGGAGAAAATAAACTTGTTTCTGAGAGGAAAGTTCTTATAAGGCTGGTGCCAGTTCATTGTGCAATGATGAGTTTCTGGATGCAGAGAAAGAAACCACTGTCCCGTGCTTGCCTTGGCCATGCTGCTGTCTTGGGGGGAAGCGAAGTGGCCGTTCTTTTTGTTTGTTGGGGAGTTTTGGGGGGTTTTTTTGAGGTTGACGTTAACACCTTACATAATATAGAAGCTGAGATTGACTCCTCCCTTTTCTGCCCCTCGCTGGTGTCCCGTGGTGGATTTGGGACTCGTAACTGAGCTGCACTGTGACCGCAGTAGGAGTGCCTGTGGCATGACCCACTTTTGCCTCCTTTAAAATAAAAAAGAGAGGAGGGGGAGCAGGACAGATGAGAAGGGGAGGAGAAATGGAGCGATACGCAGAGAGGGAAATGGAGGGATATAATAAGAAGTACAGATTTGAGCCAAAGATGAGTTCCAAAGGCAAAAGGGGAGGGAGGCTTTGGGTATTAAGTAGCTAAGTAGCTGTTCCACCATTGTTGGGATAGGCAATGTCTGGTATACAGAGAAGAAGAGAAGAAGATCCTGCAGGGGGCAGCAGGAAGACAATTAGAGAGGATAGTGAGGTCAGCCCCTTTTCTCCTAATAAGAGTCTGTCTCCAGATTACTACTCTTAGGTCAATATCCCGCCAGTTTGGGGTAGTGGTTAAGTGCACGGACTCTAATCTGGGAGACCCAGGTTTGATTCCCCACTACTCCACTTGCAGCTGCCGGAAGACCTTGGGCAAGCCATAGTTCTGTCAGAGCTGTCCTTGAAAAAGAGCAGTTTCTGTCAGAGCTCTCTCAGCCCCACCTGAGCTCTCTCAGCCCCACCTGAACATAAGAGATGCCAATGTTGGATCAGGCCAAAGGCCCATCCAGTCCAACACTCTGTATCACACAGTGGCCAGAAATACCAGGTGCCATCAGGAGGTCCACCAGTGGGGCCAGGACATTAGAAGCCCTCCCATTGTTGACCCCCCCCAAGCACCAAGATGACAGAGCATCACTTGCCCCAGAGTCCCTATCTATACCTTGTGGCTAATAGCCACTGATGGACCTCTGCTCCATATGCTTATCTAATTCCCTTTCAAAGCCGTCCATTCTTGTAGCCGCCACCACTTCCTGTGGCAGTGAATTTCTCAGGTCTGATGAGTATGTAGTTTCTCAGGTCTGATGAGAATGGGCTAGCCTGGGCCATCCAGGTCAGAGATTTCTCTAGGCCCCAGTAAAGTGTATCCTGCCCGCCACCTTCGCCCATGCTTGGGCCCTGGCATGTGTGCCTGGGCCTGCAAAGTGTCCATATTGCCAAAATTTGAATCTAAGCCATGCAGACCCTATGGGGCTGCCAGTACCATGGGAGCCGCTTGGCACTCAACTTGCTCCTTGGCTCTTTCAGCATCCCTGTTCCTTCCTGTTCAGAATATACGAAGAGCCCTGCTGAATCAGAGCAGTGGTCCATCTGTCCACACACACTGCCCAACAACAGGGCATAGAGGCCGAGGCCTTCCTCTCCTGGCACTGGCATTCAGAGGTTGACAGCCTCTGAATGTGGAGGTTCCCTTTAGTCCCCTTGGCAAGTAGCCACTGATAAGACCTGTCCTTCATCAATCTTTCTACTCCCTTTATAAGACTATATCGAAGAATATGTTAAAGCATATATTACATCACAGCACGCTTGACAACTATCTGAGCCGCCGACTCCCTTAAAAATAGGCACCGAGGTGGGCCTCACCTTCGAACTGTAGAATCAGGGCCAGCATCACCGTACCCTAAAGTGGGTCACCTGCCAGGGCCCAGGGCTGCTGGTGGCGCTGACTGCCATCAACTCCTGCCACTTCCCTGCCACCTGTCTGTGCCCCCCAGTTGCCCAGCATCATTGGGAAAGAGCATGTGGGTAGGGTACAGCAGTGGCACTCCCAGTGGCAATGGCAGCAGCGTTTCCAGCTGCATGCACTGGCCATTGCCGGCAAAGAGCTGTGAGCATGGCATTGGCTACAGAGTTTTCATATCCCCACCCTGAAGTTGTAGCCATCCTGCGCATGCAACACAGGGCCCAGGCTGGCTGGCAAGATGCACAAAAGGCAGCAGGTGGCAGCACATCCCTGGCTAATTCGGGGGGGGGGGTGTTAGTTGGTTCTGCCTGAAGTGGCCACTTGCGTCACCTGCTTCAGCAGTTCAGTGCCCCCGTTCTCCTACCCAAGCTCTTACACTCTCAAGACTTGCAGACAGCCCAGAAAGTGCTGTTACGGTTTGAGCGAAGTATGCAGAGTCAGCGTTCTCTAAATATATCCACCTTTCATTTGTATGTTTTAGGTCTGATTTAAAGGTGATGCCGATGAGGCCAAATAAAACGCTCGTGTGGGCTTTGCGTCCTTGCAGGCTTGTTTAAACTGGACTGCCACCCGTGCAAAGCAGCCGTGCTTGTGGGAGCGAAGCCCTCGGGGTGAGGGACTTTTGCCTCGACCAGCATCATGTTTAAATCAGGCCTTAGTTCAACTACTGGATTATCTAATTTGTTTTTGAGGAATTCCTTTTGTATTTTGCCGGATATAGAATGAATCGATTTCCAGTGATTGTGCCATCGCCTAGGGAAGAAGGTTTGGGCTTGTTAAAGGTTTTAGGGGAGGGGAGCAGCAGCAAAGTGAGGAAGATTAAGCCAGGCAAAGCAGTGCCAGTAAGTGCATCTGGTTCTGAATTCCCTTTCCCGCCATTTCCTTTGCTTTGAACGGAAGTTGCACAATGTCAGATCTCCATAATGAGGACTGGAAGCTTGCTTTTTGAAGTGAAAACTCATATTCCCCAAATTCTGTGGCATCTAGCAAGCATGTTACTCTCAGACATAGTTCTCCAGTCAAGCATACTTCTCACACACAAAATCACATTTGGAGGTAGTGCGGTATAGTGATTAGAATGCCAGGCTAGGACCAGTGAGACCCAGGTTCAAATCCTCAGCCGTGAAGCTTATTGGGAAACTTGGACCTATTGTTCTTTCTTATCCTAACAGTTCAAAACTTGCCTCCTTTATGAGAGGGAAGCCTTTGATGCAACTCCTTGGTCTGCCTCCCAAAAGAAGTAAAGTCAAGTATAGGTAGCAACATTTGTGCTCGTCTACCCATCATCCTTGCCTCTGTCAATATGTGGATTGGAAGTTCCTTGGGGCAAGACCTATTCCTTTTAAAAGAGCCAAATACACTGCTATAGGGCCGCGTCAGTGATAGTTTCAAGAGAGCTAGATTCGGGTCCAGTAGTACCTTAGAGACCAGCAAGATTTTTGGGGCATAAGCTTTCAAGAGTCAGCTTCAGTGCAAGTCAGCCAAGTCGCATAGTATTTTATTTATTTACTGTCTTCCTTTCTCATTTGGACTCAAGGCGGATTGCGCAGAGCAAGTCAATGCAATCAATGGATGGGACATTCAATAAGCAATGCAATAGGATTAGGGTTGTAGAACCAACCAGAAATCTAAAAACAGAACTGAAGCATGACATATTAAATGGTGCAAAATTACATAGTAGGATCCTAGTTTCGACAAGTTCATGGGGGGGTTAAGATGCGGAGGGATGCTGATAGCCTGGTTTGACCTGGTTGAGAGTTCCTTCCTGAAGCCAGAAATGA